AGAGTCAAACTTACGCAAGTCTCGAAATAATAATACGCGCGGAATCGTCGTGCTCACCTGATTCTCACAGCTAGTGATTTTACGAAGAATGTGGAAATTTCTATAAAGTCGTTCCGCTGGGTGACATTTTCGCAAACGTGACGATTGCAGGTGCGATCATCGTAATTCCTGTTCGGTGGACGTGCGCAACAACATTTTCGAGGAAGATCCTTGTCCTGGGACCAGAAAGTACATCGAAGCTCACTACAAGTGCTTAGGTTGGTTCACATTTTTCTATTCTGATGTCGTTTTTGCGCGGCTGCGGATTTACGCGAGAAACCTCAAGGGATTCGTCTTTCGTTCATGTGCTGCGAAAGAGCCTCATAATCTTGGAATTGTAATTTGAATTTATTTCGGATTTATTTCGTCTTATAACCTGATCATCGATGTTAAACAATATGCCCAGATGTTATAAACCTTAAAAATTTTTTTCTTTCATGAATAACTTTTTTTTTATTACTTTTACTTTATAATTTTATTTGATATTAGAAAAAATCAAATTTTTCTTTATTATTTAATTAAATTTTTTTGCTATTTCATAATTTTGCCTGATTGATTTACTTTTTATAATAATCCTCTAAAATTGAAAAATAATAACGATTAAATAACTAATATTTTACAAATATTTTTCTTTGAAATGAATGAATCATAAAGAAAATCTCAAGAATTAAGAATAAAAATATCCACAAACTAAACTTACTAAGACTGTTAGGCTTCAATAAAAGAATACGAGTTGAATGGACGAATTTCGACGAAAAAGTTTCTCTCCAAGAGCATTGCTCTTTTTTCCCATCTATCGAGGAAACGAAAGAAACAGGGCTGGATCCATGGCGGTACACGTGGTAAGGGTGTACCATAGTCATTTTGTTAAACGCGAGTCGAATCCCCGTGCAGGTGCAACGACCAGCAGAACTGCAGCATCGTTGCGTCTACGCTGCAATTCGGCGATCCTTGCCCGAACACACACAAATATCTCGAAGCGCATTATCGATGCGTGTCCGGTAAGTAAAGCTCTTCCATTTTTACACCAGTTTTATCCTGTAATTTTTTTTTAACGTTATTGGACTTTGCAGGAAATTCCACAAAACTCATGTGAATCGTAATTGTTTTTAAAAGTATAAATAACACAAATTATTTTTGAGATAAATGCAATTTGAAAAATAAATTTTGACATTTTATTTGAAATATACACTTTTTTTAAACTAATTTTTTTACATTATTTATTATTAACGCTTTTTCCTTAAATTTTTGTGTTAGTGTAATTAGCAATCAGCATAATTGATTTAATCAATATCCAGTAAAATCATTTAAAAAATGTTTAAACATTTAAATCATTTTAATATAATGTTAAATATATGATATATATTAAATGCAAATATCAACTTGTTTTCCTTCCTATCAACATGTTACTTTCTAATAATGATATCTAAATAATCCTCTTTCCTATTTACCTTCCATCGTTGTTTCATGTGTCTCGCGATCGTATTCAACAGATCGGGTTCCAGTTCTACGCTATCAATATATATTAGCAAATAGTCTTTGTAGTTTCCAACGGAATAAGTAAAATCCATTCCTGTTCTCTTTTCGATTTGCACATAAGCGTCTTACCTTTACGCGCGCGATTATCGTAATGAATATCGCCGACGTTTGGTGTTTTACCTTATCGCAAACCCTTTCGGACAATAAAGATGACCTCTATAGAGATAGTACCACGAAATACGTGGACCATCCCGTTCTGGAATTAACTGTCGTCGCCATCTTGGAGGTTAAAGATCGTTTCCCCTTCACGGCTAGATCTAGTCGCGATATGGAGCTGTGCAGTCTAATCTCTTGTGCTCTGTCTCTCTTTTTCTCTACCTATCTATTCTTTGACCATTTGAATGTCTTATTCGCGAAATGTCTTTTGAACGATTTATATATTGGCAGAGTGTTCAATTTTTATTCATAATATATTCTCTCAGCAATTATAAAACTCAACCTTTTTCAGAAAAAAAATTTTCTTTTGTCTTTGATGTTGAAGAAAAATGACAATAGACTTTTCATAGACGAGATAACTTTAATGGAAGTACTTAGTAATTATGTAAGCACACGAAATAAAATTTAATATTTGATTCAGAAATTAGTGATATTCTTATATATTTTGACGGTCTGAAATCAAATTTGATATCTAAATTGCTTTATCACATTACAATTTTTTTTATCAACAGAAAATAACTCGATTTTCCAATACTTTTAGATATTTGTGGCCTGATTTTTAATATGCAAGTTGAGGTAAATGAGTGAAAGTAAGTTCAACGATAATATGCAAGTTTATAAAGTTAATATATAAGTTAGTAGGTTAAATATATTGGAAAATCGAACTCTCTCTCTCTCTCTATCTCTCTCTCTCTCTCTCTCTTTCTCTCTCTCTCTCTATCCGTCGATAGAGAAAAATTGTAACATAATGAAGCAATTTAAACTTCGAATTCGACTTTAGAAACGTCAAAATACGTATAAGAATATCATGGCCTAATCTTCAAATTAAAAAAATTTTTTGTACCTGTGTTATTTATGTTTATAATAATATTTTTATTTTTTATTAAAAATTTTAATAAAATTGCAAAATTGTTATAATCTAAAAATTGTCATGTCTCTTTTGCATTATATCTTTTTAAAAGTCTTGTTTTACTATTTATATTTTATCACAACATAAATTTAAATCTGCAAACTAGTTTAATCAGTTAAGCGCATCAAATATTCTAATAAAATTCAAATATTGTTCAAATATTATTTATTATATCTATATTTAATGTTTTCGAAAAGAGATTTACTTAAGCGCTCTATCGAATAATTACGATTAACAAAAATCTGATATAAATCCGATACAGTGGATAAGCTCCTTCCAACGTAGTGAGCCAAGAAAAACAGAGATGAGAGTACCTCGGTATTTCCGAACCCCGGATATCTCATTCCCTTCGGTCTATCGGGAATATACGCAAAGTACAGACAGTTCGTTCAAACTCTATCGAATGATTAACAAGAGTCTAATATAAATTCGACGCGATGGATAAACTTTCCATCATATCAATCTGAGGGGAAAAGGGAAAAATAGAGAGAGAGATGGGGAGTAAAAGAGAGAAGAGGGAACACTTCAATATTCCTGAGCCGAAGAGACCTCTCGAAAGCTTTAAATATTCTGCACCCCTGAAATCGCTTTCCTTCTTAATTATACTCAGTCTTTGAATCCAATAAGCTCGTAGACGAACTGCCTGATCCCCTTTCCTCTTCTGCTAAAGCTCCTTCCTAAAATACTGCCTGTTTTCCCGTCCTCATTAAAGCGATCTTGACGAAATATTCGCAGCAGCCACTACCACGACGACATCCCGGCCGAGTCCGCCGTGGTTCATAACTTCACAACCGAGTGTCTGGAGCACCGCTAAGCCAACTGTCAGGCCTCCCTCGAGGATTACGACACCGGCGCAACAGCCACACCAACAGCCACCGGCGCCGTCCACCCCAGCAATGCCGATAACGACGCCGGCGAGGTCAGTGGGCTACATAAACATAAAAGTCTGAAATATGTGACTCGATTAGTTAACCCCCCGGAGTTGACGCTAAAATCTGTAACACAGATTACTGACGTTGAGTTTATAAGACCTACTTAATTTATGTTAGTTAAAAGGCACTAATTAAATTCAAAGAACCAAAGTGACATAACTTGTATGAAAAAAAAAGAAATAATAAATATATTTTAATAAGAATAATTCAAATTTACAAACGTAACAAAGAAAATTAAAGTGTTTAAGATACACACTTTTGATAGAGATTTATAATTGAATAGATATCCAATAGATTCACCAGCTTCAGAAGAAAAGCCAAGTATTTCGATTTTAATTTGAAATCAAATTTATGTATTAAACATTGCTTAGTATAGTATTCACACACATAAAAATATAATAGAACGAAAATGTCGGAACAAAGTTTTCCCTGCATATTATTTTGCGCGTTAGCCATTAATTTCCTTCAATCACTGTCTGTATAACGAAAACAAATATTTTCCTTGACGTCATTTATATCAAGGATGATCTTTACGATCGTCATAAAGTTCGGTGTGTACGAAAACTATCGATAATAATGAGACCCTTCCATTTTCAGTTCTACATCAACAAGGTCCTCTGTCGACATCGAAGTCGATGAGGAAGATCAGGACCTAATATCTCCTGCGAATGGTTCTCCGGCGAATGGCCCGGCAATGCCGCCGATTATGTTTGAGACCACTCAAGCCACGACAACATCTACCTTCGTTCCTTGGAGAACCAGCCGAAGGACCACTGGTAAGATTTTCTCTTTTTCTGGAGAAACATTAATTAACGTCATTATATAATAACATTAAATACGTCATTTTTAACTATTAACATTGATATCTCGGTAGAACTAAACAATGCCATTTATGATGTTTTTATAAAATCATTTTACATATCTTCAATATAGACAATTCTCAGAATCTAGAGATCCTCAGAAATTTCTTTGTCGGTAATCAATTAACCGTTTACGTGAAATAATCTTATATCGACAACAATGGTAACGTCTTTACACAGTAACAATTAAGCTACAATATATCTAGTTTCCTGGTTATGGATCTATGAATTGACTTTGAGGATAAGCCGCTCGTATCAGACAGCGCCTAAGCATAATAGATGATCAAAGCATTATAGCTATTGTGGTGATAATAGTGTCTAAAGGCAGGTTGTCAATATTTGTTATATTATAGTTTTAGTTATTGTTTGCTTTTGTCATTGTATAATGAACACATTCTTGTTTGTAGTCTATAAATCAGCGAGTAAATAGCGCACTTCTGATTCGATCGCGACAAAGCATTAAGATCTCCTGGGGATAACCGAAATTCCATTTTCGAGCGTCGTTGCACTCCGAACTGCGTCCCCGAGGACGCCGCGATCGACGTCGGTATCGCATTAACGCCGAGCCGTTAACTGTAGTCGTTAGTTTAGGCGACTACTTAGGGTACTGATTAGGTACATACTGATTGAACCATACTGTTACAGTACCCAGCACGTTGTACCCGGAGTCCACTTCGAACGGAAGCCCGTGGTATGACTACAGACAAGTGTGTCCTCCGGTAGTAGCCCGGAACCTGTCTTGGAACACGACCAGGGCTGGCGATGTGGCCGTACAAAGCTGCCCCGGTGGTGCCAATGGTCTGGCCAGATGGCGATGTTTGGCCCGCGGAGAATCCGCCTTCTGGCATCGTGACAATCCAGATCTGAGCGAGTGTCGATCAGTCTGGTTAACCACCCTGGAAAACCGTGTGACGGACGGCGACGTGATTCTCGGTATCAGCAGAGAACTCTCGCAAGTTACAAATAACAGCCGCGGTTTATACGGCGGCGACATGATGATCACTACGAAGATTATCAAAAACATGGCCGAGAAGATGGCCCTGGACATTAAGACCTACCAAGATTCGAACCAGAGAGAGGTCAGCGTTACAGAGTTGCTGCAGGGCGTAGTGAGGACCGGTAGCAATCTGCTCGACAAAGCGCAAATGGCGTCCTGGAAGGATCTTAGTCATCAGGAACAGATGAGGGTCGCAACATCGCTGCTGATCGGTCTCGAGGAGAACGCCTTCTTATTGGCCGATACGCTTCTGCAGGAGAAGACCATTATGCATGAAGGCAAAAACATATGTGAGTACTACTAATGATGATTGGTAATTACTACAGAACATTTTATCGGACTATGCATTTATTATTCCTTTACAAGCCACGTAAGGAGACATTAAGAACTTCAATATCCTCTTCATTAAGTTACTATCTTTGCTTGTAACCAATTGCCTAGATAATTACAGAACATTATGTCGAAATTATGTTAAGAATCTAATTTGCGATTTCCATTAATATAAGATAGGATTTAGTTTAAAATCTAAAAGATCTAGAGAGAGAGAATATACTTTTTATTTATTTTATAATTTTCTGTTATATTGTAAATTTAAAATATAAAAGAAAGTAAATTATTATATCAAAGGAAATTGTGACGCAGATATAAGCAAAATACGTTTCAAACTTATAAATTTTCTTGATCTTCGAAACATATACATTTACAATATTAATTCGTAAATTGATAGTTTGTTATTAATAAAATTCCAAATTACATTCATTTTGAAAAACTATAGAACTTAGAATTCGTGACATAGTGGAGTTACGTAACACAATAATTAAATTCTTTCCTCCGGAATAACTATTTTCATTTCAATATTTTGAAAGTCACGGACGCACGTTGCATTCGCCTTCAGCGTACATTGCAAACGATCGAATGATTTATATCGCTCGCGCATCCAACACCCGGTAATCTCCGGTCTAGATAAAATACAGATCCGAATCCATCGTAATTCTCCGGTACCCGCCCGGATTACATTATAATCCAGACGAGTACGGCGCGAGCGCATGCTATTATTACTACAAAACGACGATGGAATTACGAGCGACTTGATTTACTTCCCGGAAGTGCGTCGCGGCTTGATTGAGCCGGTATGTACGTACATCATCAGATGCACGCTTGATAAACTGCATAACAGCGGAGAGCAAAAAGCGTCAGAGAAAAGAAGAGGAGGGGCAGTTGATGAGCGACAGCCGGTCGGACGCTGTATAACGTCCTCCTTTCCAGAAGAAATATCGAAACCGCATTAAGTCCTTCTTCTTGGCAACGCCACTGATTGATACCGCGATCAATTCTTAATCCCTCCTTTCGCGGCAAATTACACAGCGTGTTAAGGCTACACTCCAAATCCAAGTATATAATAAGTGACTTTATACGTGAGTGTGAATGATTCAGTTTTTCGTGTAAAAATATACTAACTATACTACATTTAAAGGTAAATCCATTTTTGTAAGCATTTTTATGTTATTTTTACACAGAAAACTGAATCGCGCACACATATAAAGTCATTTATTATACACTTAGATTTGGAGAGAGAGAGAGAGAGAGAGAGAGAGAGTATTGTTCTTTCTTGCAATAAATAAATCTCTTGGCAAATTTGGAACAACTTAGTTTTTTAATGAATTTTAAACAACATAATTAAATAAAACTTTTATTAAATTACTCTTTTTAATTTTATTTAATTATGTAGATAACAAACGAAAAAATAAAGAATTACTTTTTTTCTATCGCGTAATTTTCAATTTATGATATAGCACGCGCAGCTGCGCGGAAATGTTGTAGATTTTTTAAATTAATGATGTTATGTAATGGTTTTTACTGTATATTTTAAAAAATTATATTTCAAAATCACATATAAAATTTTATATACAATTTTATTTATAAATAATGGAATGTGTTCCAATTTTTACCGTTATTTTTATTTATATCTCTATATATTAAGCTAGCAGGATCTATTTAGCAAAATTAAATTGGACCTATGAAAATATTTAGTATTTCTTTGTATTAAGTTATACTATACCAATAAAAATTTTGTATTCCGTGTCATTTTGAGAAAAAAAAATAGCGTTGCAAGTTTAATACTAAGCTAGTAGATAGTCACATAGAAAAAGAAAAAGAAAACAAAAGTAGTAGAAATACAAAAAAATAGTAGAAATACAAAAAACTGACTTTGTATAAATTTCTACCATTAGAAAACAATTGATTTATTGATTCATTCCTCACGAAACAATTTCCAATTTCGGTATTCTTAAAATAAATGTTCGTTGTATAAAGTTTAATAATTACTGTTTTATCGTAAATTAATTCGTATTTTTCGTGAATTCTTGAATGATTAGAATTCTCATGAAACGCGTTAAACGCGCCAAGAAAAAGATATCACTTACTCGCTTAATTAATCGCGTGCGTGTCTTCACCACAGTGATGGAAGTTCGCGTATTGGACGCGCGCAACATCGGCAACGAGCTGGAAGTTTTCCCGAGCGAAGCCGCCCAGCAAAGGTGGACAGTCTCGAACGATCGCGTGGAACTTACCAGGGGCGCTTTACTGGACAACAGCGAGGCCGGTATCGTCCGGCTGGTCTTCATGGCCTTTGACAGACTCGAGGAGATACTACAGCCGCAAGCGGAGCCGCCGTCCGTCGTCATGAACGACGATCCCCAGCCACTGCCGCGGAGAAACACCACCCGTCTTCTCAACAGCAAAGTTATCTCGGCGTCCTTGGGAAAAGGCCGACACATACAGCTCTCAGAACCCGTTCGAGTGTATTTCAGACATCTGGCGGTCGAGAACGTCACTAACCCCACTTGCGTCTTCTGGGATTACATCTTGAGGTAATTTCGCCTTCGTCCGATCCTATTTCCACTTTGTACAATACTAAAAGTGCTGAGGAGTCTTTCTCTTATTTCTTCATTTTCAATTTTCTCTTCCTGTGTTTCCACTGAACTGTATACAACACTTGCAACAACTCGCGGAAATAGGAAGTATATTCGTTATTATATTTAATCCGTGCTGTATTTATCCTTAAAACGAGATTATAGAGATTCGATATTCTATACAAATTCGGTATTCAATAAAAAGATTTATTTAAAATTGATACATTTCAGAATAAGATTTTTAAATTTTTATTCTGGAAATATAATTTTTAATTTTTAATATTACATAATTTTTTTATAAATTTTTTATGAGAAGAATATATGTAAGAATATATGTACATATATATGATACCATATGTACATATATTACATATATTATGGATTCAAGAATTATAAATAAATATTCTATATTTATTTATAACACACAACTAACAAAATTGAAACTATCCTCGCGCATTTTTGACGCTTTCCGACGGAAAAGTAACAGTACACGAACTATCTACTCTACACGCGATACCTTATTTCCCACAGCGCCTGGTCGGACGAGGGATGCCAGATACAAAAGACCAACGAGACTCACACCGTGTGCGAATGCAATCACCTGACGAACTTCGCCGTGCTGATGGACGTGCACGCCGTCAGGCTGGACATCGCCCATCAGGTTGCTCTGCAGATCATCACGTATATAGGCTGCATCATTTCCGTCGTCTGCCTCGTCCTGGCTATTCTCACGTTTCAATTATTTCGCGGACTGAAGGTAATGTATATAACTGCGCGAGCGCCGATCGATCGGCATTCAATCGCGGCGAGATGGAATTTTTTGTCACTCTGCCTGATCCCTGATTTGCAGTCGGACAGAACGACGATCCACAAGAATCTCTGCGTGTGCCTGCTGATTGCCGAAGTACTTTTCGTTTGCGGTATCGGCCAAACTAATCAGAGAATCGTTTGCGGCATCGTGGCCGGCTTATTGCACTTTTTCTTCTTGTGCGCATTTGCCTGGATGTTCCTCGAAGGTAATTCAGCCAGCCTCTTATTTACATTATAATATGAAATATTTTATTATTTTGTTTATATAATCTATATATATATATATATATATATATACACATACATACGCACATACATACATACATACATACATACATACATACATATTGTATATTGATTTTGGTATTACGTTACAGGATTCCAATTATATGTGATGCTGATCGAGGTATTTGAAGCGGAAAAATCGCGGCTTCGGTGGTATTATCTGGTCGCGTATGGCGCACCACTGTTGGTCGTAGCAATTTCGTGCATAATCGATCCACTCAGCTACGGTACCGATCGGTACTGTTGGCTGCGCGCAGATAATTATTTCATCTTCAGCTTCGTCGGACCTGTGATACTCGTTATACTGGTAATTGACCGATACATTATCGACTAACTGAACAATCTACTAGGAAAACATCATTGTGCGAGTGTTGGCGATATGAGATACTCGTTATCATTTGTATCACGTATCTTAACGTGATGACTTTTTTCTTTTTTAATTTTATAACATTAATATTTAAGACGTCAATTGATTTTAATGTTATCTTTTGCAGGCAAATCTGGTATTTCTATCGATGGCAATCTATATGATGTGCCGGCATGCGAACACCACCGTGGCTATGAAAAGCAAGGAGCATTCCCGATTGGCTAGCGCAAGGTAAGCACGGTGGTCCTTAGTAGCCCGTTTCTTTATTTTATTTTATTTTTTTTTTTAGTAAAGTATTATAAACTGCAAACTGTATATACCGTGTACCAGTCGAGTGCGTCCGTTGTCCGTCACATTCGAGATTTGACCCTCCCATCGAAGAGTAGCAATCGAGATGTTTGTTTGGTGCTTTCGGTTTATACGTTCGCAAGCTTTACTTGCTTAAAGAGATCTCCCGAACGCGGATCTTGTTGTCACGCATCTTTTGGCGGCCATGCTGATTTTTTGGTTTTGGTTTTGAGTCCTATGTTTGGAATGACCGCAGATTTCGTTCGTTCGACACACCACTGTATTGCTGTGATATTTAGGATATACACGAGTATATCGTTCGATTACACAAATTGTCGTAAAGATATGCAGGGTGCGCTATTCTAAGTCTTTAAAAAAACACTATCGAAATAATTTTCTATATTTATTTTTTATTTGCAATTTCATTGTTCTGTAAATTCGTAAATTATTTGTTTTGTAAGGATTTTGAGTTTTATTTCATTTTTTTTTTAGAGATTCTGCGTTTTGTGATAAAATAATGCTAAATATCACCGAAAAATATTTTGAGTAAATTTTAATAATTTTAAATTGGTTCAAAAATGATGCGAAATAAAATTTTTCGAAGTTAGATCTGTTAGATATCAGATTATCATTTCATAGATTTTGAATTTTTAAGGTTATTGTTCTGTGAATTGTTAACTTTATAGATAACTTTATAGATAAAATATAGAATGTGTAGAAATATTAATTTATTTAGCGTTTTTTGAAAACACCCTGTATATTGTGATATTTAATTTAAGGATTTTATAAACGGAGGTATAATCAATAATTTGTGTAAAATTATTATTTAAAAAAGTAAATTTCTATATTTTTATAAAATCGTGAAAATACGTAAATAATTTGGTGATGGTAGTGAAATTTGTTGCAATCCCGATTCGGATTATTGCAGATAATATCTATCGCGATGACTGGTGTTTAAATATTTCTTTGTACATAACTAATTATCAATTATTTCACTTACGAGCGAAAACGCCGTGCTTTTACTCGGCAATAAGTAATGCGAATCGAGCATTGCAAATCAGAGAATAAGCTATAATCAATTAATGGTGCCGGAACAATCACCTAACTGCTGTCTTGTTTCATTTTTGTATTAAATCTTCTACCCACTTCTGTCTACACTGTTCTACATTCTTCTGCATGGCGTGGTTGGTTGGTAGTGGAAAGGAAGAGAATGCTCTTCCCAACAAATTGCAAGCGCACTTGTAAGATATTTACCATTTTTATTATTACTCACCAGTCATATCGTTAACGTCATCATTAATCGCCATCTCGCTCGTCTCATTTGATCATCCCGTTTTTTTTTAGTTTATTTTGTTTCAATTAAGCTATCCAAGTATCATTACACTGATTTTGTGAACGTAGCTGTAGACTTTAGTCTCTTACATCATACATCAAAACACTCGCCGCCACGTAATATCGCAACACTCATAGGAAACGCGATTTAAACGCCAGTGTAGCGTTTGTATGCATATTGTAACTAATACATTGATTGAAGGAATAAATATATGAGAGCGAAGAATTTTATAATTTATAATATTTAAAATTTACGAATTTTTAATACAATAAAATGATTTAATTTTACAAATAAGTTTTTATAAAACCTGAAATCAATATATATTATTCTAGAATTAGTTTGTTATAATAAAAAAAAACAATTTTATTTGTGTAAGAATTAAATTTCCAAAAATTATGACATCATATACATTTTTATTCCTTTAGTTAATTAATTGTTAAAACAGTATCGTCTCTATTTAATAATTTGTAAATCTCTGACAGTATTTCAATCATGCTTACTGCTTATTTATGTCGCAAAAATAATATTATATTTTTAATTGATATTATAATATCAATTAAATTGTAATTATAATTGATAATACGATATGTGTCACAATTAATTTTATTATTTATTTTAGTGATAAATAATTTAATTTTTTTCTTGAATAAAGTCATTTTTGTTAAAGATAATTCACATTTCTAGTATTTTTTAATTATCTCTTACAACAATATTGCAAAATTTTTGTGTAAATGTATGATGTTTTCATAATAACTGCGATCGATCACATGTATATATATATATATATATATGTATAATAACTACACACTTGTTATATATTTATTATGGCACTTGCATTTCCTGTGAGTAGACACGATAATTCACTGCATGTAGTATTCTCCTTAGTTTCGGGTATTACGCCTGATTTACAAGTAGATAGACGTAAAAGTACCGTAGAAATATATCCGCCTACCTATATATCGCCACACGTTCTAATCATAATGGTTTAGATAAAATGCCGCGATTCCGGCGATGCTCAAAGTGGTGCGTTTGCGTTACTTGCAAAAATAAATACTCCGAGCATAATGTCGCAATGTTTAAATATCACTTTCGACGAATCCTCGCGTGTCTCACGATGTTATGTGACAGTCGCACTATTTTTTTCTCTTCAACATCGTAATACTAATGTCAAGTATTAAAACATAAACCACATTTTACGATCGACTGAGGAAGTCTGGGATCGATTGGCTACAATTATCCTTATATTTTTTCTATAAGTAGCAAATAATTCAGAAAAGAAAATGAAAATTACTGCTATTTAAAATAAAATAAATGAAATTTTTTCCTTATAAATTTTTTTCATGTACGAATTTTTCAAAGTTAGTGGATTGCGACGTTACAACTTGCAATCAATTAGCGATGAATTATATAGTGTTGCAAGATTGTAGCGAAAAATTGGAAATCTATAAAGTTATCATGTTATTTGTACTAATGATATTTTCTTCGTTTGTCCTTCGAGTTGCAGAAAATATCCTTTTATTTTTATCAAAGACTGTCGAATCCACGTGTCAGTTTAAATTTTTTATTAACTGAAGTGAAGTGAACTTAAATAGCTTAAGTAATCCGAGTTTTCCCAAATATGACGCTTTACGAGATTTCATTTTTTCTGCGAAAGTCATGTTCCATCGGAGCGTTTACACGACAATATGTTGGTCCCCTTTAAGCGCCGCCATCGCGATTTGTATTGTACAAGAGAAACTTGGCTGGCTGTTCTCCTGTAATTTATTATTCTGTATCTTCTGATCAGGGCCTGGCTGCGGGGCGCTATCGTGCTGGTGTTTCTACTAGGTCTGACCTGGACGTTCGGGCTTCTCTACTTAAACCAAGAATCCGTCGTGATGGCGTACATCTTCACCGTATTGAATAGTCTCCAGGGGCTGTTTATCTTTGTGTTCCATTGCGTACAGAACGAGAAGGTAAGGGAATACGTCGGGGCACAGAAGTCCGCCTTGATTTAGACTATTCTGGTAACATCGCCGAATGTTCCCTGAGAGAGAGATACAAACAACAAAATCCGAATTGTTCGTGAAATATGTAATGATTTTTACTTAAGAGTGATACCGCGTAATTTTTTATAAGAATAATTTTGCATCGATACGCTTCCCATAAAACCTAATCAATTCTATTACATATTTTTTTTACAAATGATTTGTAAAAAAATGTTACATTGTTGTTTATAAAACTATGTAAACTTTATATTTTTTTAGAATGAGATTATGCAATGAGTTGTGATAATTTTTTATAAATCATTCTCACTTGTGTATTAATTTTTATATTAACTTAAAATTCGAAGAATTTTCTAGTGCTTAAGTTTAATATGTCACGATTGATATTAATTAAGATTACTGGAACGATAATCATGTTAGCATCGTATTGTTTTGCTCATGAAAATCAGAACATGGAGATGATTTGTCTAATGAAGCGCTGTACAATAAAGTCTAATAAAGCGCAATACAAGTTACTGACTTTTACTTCGCGTATTTTTGTCACCCGTAGTAGGCTCATTATAATTTTTTCAAGAATTTGAGAACTTTTTTTTGTTATCATCGCGAGAAGCACCGATATTATTTTCATTTCTAGTTAAACCGGCACTATAATTTCGAGCCTGCGAACTTAGATCGCACAACATTTTCACAAATAATCGCAGACGGCTTCCTGAATTTTGCCTATAGATGACAAAAGGACGTAAACTGAATAAAATTTGAAAAAGCATAATTTTTTCTTTATTTTACTAATGTAATGATAAATTTTAATCGCGTACCATGGCTATTCGTCACGAAGCCGTCTGCAACCTGCGGTCTGCAGTGTCCATGTATCAGACTCGCAGAGATGCACATAACGCATCTGCACGCTGTCTCGCACAAGCCTTTAGTTCTTTCTCGCACCGTTAAACTCGTTTCGTTGGGTCGGGCGGGCTCTGCTTTGCTCTTGCAGGTGAGGAAGGAGTACCGAAAGTTCGTGCGCCGTCATTCTTGGTTGCCGAAGTGCCTAAGGTGCTCGAAGACTGTGACAGGCGGCTCGGCCGGCTCCACCGGCGGCAGTGGCGGTACCGGCGGCGCCAACGGCGGCAAGGACTTCGCCTCGCATAACACCTCGTCGAACCCCTCGGCTCCTACCACTGACAGCTCCGGACTGTCGCCTCATGCAGCCACCAATGTGGGTACCAACGCCGGCGCCACATCACCGCCGAACAATCACAACAACCTGACCACCACCTGTAACAATACGAATCTTTCGATAAACGTGAACCTGAACAATTTGTCGCTGAGATCGCCGGTCGGGGCACACCAGATGCACATGATGGCACCTAGCAACCACAATAGGCATCCCGCTCAGCAAGGTATCCAAACGCCGCTTATACACCAAACCGAGACACACGGATAACGAAGCGAAATGGAGTGATCGCCCTGTGGGATCACAGTGATCGATTACTTATGAAAATTGAGGTCTATTGTAGTTCCATATGTTCGCAACTTTTGCAGACACTACGTCGTTTTGATCAAATTGACTCTTGACTTGTCACATTTCTTTTTACTTCGCTTAATATATATGCAAACTGATAATATGATATAGACTGACGTAGTATTTGTAAAAATTAGAACATATTTATTTTCATAAAATATTGGTTACTGTGTTTTATCCACGGCACAATTGAAAGACTGGAATTGTAGGAGTCCGAAAGCGAAACGTGCGTCTTTCTCCTCCACTCTCACTTTTTTTATAATACAGCAATGACGGTGCAATACTTGATCAATCTCTGAAGTACGTCAATTAAAATCTAACGTTTTCTGACATTGTATACACAAGTCAGACTAGCATATGTAATAATTTGTACATGATCTCATAGGATCAAAATAATTTCTAGTATTGATAAATTGCATTTCTTTCTCTGTTTCTGACTTTTTTCTATATATTCTTTTCTCGCTTTCCTTTTAGTATGATTATGAGTAACACAAGTATGATCCGTCTATAATTAATTATTATCGTTCACTTTTTGCCTGTCGCTCAGAACTCAGCCTGCCTTCCTTTAAACTTGCCCCTTCACAATTGAAAGGTTGCTACGGTTAATTGTCTCTCAGCGTGAATTACAGTTTCTGTCTGTCTCTCTTGATCTTTTCAGCGTGTGTAAATAGATCTTAGTTCGTCACGCATTTAACGCTAAATGTAGTTACTTGGTTCCCGATTTCATGCTTATGATGTATTATGTATTAGATTTAATAATCCAACAGAATTTAAATTGAAGCGTAACGCTTCATTAATTTTTCTCTTTTCTTAATATATTATATTAAATTTGTTGCAGAATGTATGTAAAGTAGACAGTCCTGCTAGTTTATTTGATTATTTTTACAGATAAAGCTTAGTATATGCTTATAGATTTTTCACTTAGAAATTATTTATAATCATAAACTTTCCAATAAATATTCATTTTTACTTAAAAATTTTTTAATCTGTATATAAAGTTAATCTGTCACGATTGTAACTTTACAGTTAATAATTTTATTTTTTAAAAATAATTTTTATATATCATAGAAATTAATTTACAAAGATTTAGATTTTCTGTATGTCAGATTATTACGTTTTGAAGCGTATATTTCTGAATAATGTTTAATAAGTGTACATTCGGCTTTAACGCTCGAAACCGACATGAACCTGAAAGCTTTTTTGGTGTTATCAGCAAGTCACTTCAAAAACTGACTCGCAAAACGGCGAACTAAAAGGCATTTAACGAACCGTTCAGCTCTTTCGACCCTGTCGCGTTCAGAGAGTCGAAGAGAATTGGCCGACAAAAATAGAGTGAGAAGGAAAGAGAGAAAGAGAGAAAGAGAGAGAGAGAAAGACAGAGAAACTAGCGAAACAAAAAATGTATTTGGGAGAGAGATTGTTGAATGTGCTCGTGTATACTGTTATAGGACAGTTTGTAGGAAAACGTCAGTCAGAGGAAAACACACTAATATTAAAAATGATTAAAAATAAAAAAATTTCGAAAATACAAAAATATAAATTTAAGCATAAACTCTTTTCATTTTTACGTTTTTAATATTATTTTAAAATTAGAATTTCTTTATAGCATTCTATTTACAAAATGCATTTCGATACAATATATATATATATATATATATATATATTCTTCAATTTCTAAATTGAATTATTTCATATTTAAACTAATATCTATATATTTAAATTTTAACAAAGAAGTGATAAATTTGAAATTTGATAAAATCTATAGTTTTTTTTCCTTTTTTTAATTATATATAATTTTATAAAATGATATTTTTTTGCATATATTTTTTTAAGTTTTTTTTTCTTCATAAGTTATTCCATATAATAACTTTCATGTTAAAATTCTTGAAATAAGTCATTGTTTTGTACATTTCGTATTATTTTGAGCTCGTTAAAGGAATAAATAAGATTCTTTTTCTTGAGTTCAACTTGAATTCAAGTATCTTGTTAATACGACCTGTTATACTTCCAATTAAGAAAGTGTCTCTCATCTGGCGTTCATTATTTAAAATATCAAGATAACAATTTTTCAAGGATTTTGAATACCAAATTATTTCAAGTAACAGCTTGAATATAAATATCGCTTATTAGTTTAATTAGTCTCGAAATGTCCAGAAACGTATAAATATATTTGTCATATTTATCATTATTACATTGATTAGAAAAGATTCAAGTCAGACTAATAACGAGAAAAACATTTGCATATTTTTATTTTCAATAATTAAATTACCATTTTTATTTTTTAAAGCTTGTAATGTTATAGCCTTTACAATTAAGTATCATTCTATTTAGTGATTCCAATTTTATTTCTTATAAAGCTAGTTTAAATAATTCTTCTGTAAAGAATTTTTAAACTTTCTTTAAAATTAAGGAATCTTAGAAACAAATTTATATTTCTCTTTTTGGCAAATAAATTCGACTGAAGAGATGTCGCTTCCAGATTATCGATTCGATAATGACTCGACGTCCCCATTTTGTAAATAACGCGCGGGAGGCAGGCACAGCACGAACATTCGAATTCGCACTCTCGCGAGCACGCTCGCCCGCAAGACTTCCTACTAACAGTGGTGATTTCCGTGCTTCTTATCTGGCTTCGGGGTTTGGTGTAATGCGGTTGCTGGCTACTTTGTATCCTCTTATGCCCCGGCCCGCTCCCTTTCTCACTACGAAGAGCGCGATTTCGCGCGATTCATCGTTTATTTCAGATCTTCCGGATCATCAATGAAATCTGTGATCAGATAAAAGGCAGTAAGTGATATAATTTTACTGAAACAAGTACTTTACACAGGCATTTTTATAGCTGCAGTTGAAATAATATGGTAAGTCAAATTAAATAATAGATAGTTTAATATTAGTAACGAATTGAATTTTTATATCGAATGACAAGTATTTAAATAAAATTAATTTAAATAGATATTATTGACAGAATTAAAAAAAAATTTTTATTATATCTTTTAATTTTTAAACTAATTTAGGATTAATTTGATTTGTTAAAAAGACGTTTGCAGACTTTTAATTTAGTTATAAAAACATGCTAACAAAATAATTATAATATGATGAAAAGAGCTGAGAAAATATAAGTTTGACTTGTCAGTTACTGCCTTTTTTCTAATCACAGTAAAAATAATTTCAATGGAATAATCGTAATATCAGATACACTCGCGCAATCATGATTTACGATCACTCTCGTAATCGTGTCTCCTTTACATGCCTTTTATCGCTAACTTTTTGCTTATATTTGATATATTTAAATAAGTTTTATTTGATCAGCAAGTTGGTGATTACTCATTTATTACAGTTAGAATGTTGAAGCAAATTATTGTGATAATTAATTTTATTTATATTGCTAATAGTTTTAAGAAAATTATCTCATCAATTTATTATAAATGTATAAATTTTTCATTTAAAGTGTCACATATAAATTATATTTTTAAATATTTTTTTTATGGCAGAGATATAATTTTTTTCTGCACAATTTAAAAATTCGTAAAAGATAATTTAGAATATAAAAAGTTGAGAGAAGTAAAAATTAAAATAATCAGAGACTGTTGATATTTGTCGCGACAACCTTGTATAAAAACTTATTTTAATTTTAGTAATTATCTATGCTACCTTATTCGTATTGTCAACCAGATTGTTCACGACGAAGAAATTTAAACAAACGAACTTCCGTCGACGATGGGGAAGGTATACGTTTAGAAAGATTCGTAATGTACTAGTGGACTTAATTCTAACTAGACACGCGAAGGGCGGAGTACGAAGGGATGCACTCTATGCAAGCACTTACACGTCGCATTTCACGTCTATTTGTTCTCTTGCACTTCATGGCACTTCCGTATTCCGCCTGAACGCGCTTCGAGTAATTAAGTGGTTTTTTCCTCCCATGAACATGCGATCGATGGAAAACGTTTTCTTGAAAATGTGAATGCTCACGCATAACGATCATTACGTTGTAACATGCAACTGTTGGCGCAAAAATTTTTGCGTTTTCCGTCGAACTTGCCGAAGTGTTTTACATGCTGAGAAACATATGTTTAACCCTTTACACTTGTCGTACCGACAAACCATTACGAAATTATATTTAAATTAATGCATTTGTATATCGATTTAATAAGAGAGCAACATTGTTCTGCAGTTTGTTAAAAAAAAAAAAATTCATTAAAATAGATTTATTTTTGTTATTACAAAATATTAGCTTTTTATTATGTATTATTAAAAAGCAATGTTCTGAAGGTTCAAGTTATAAATTTAATGAATTTCGTACAAATTTAAAAAAAATTAGATTTAATAATTGTGATAATAATGAAAACAAGAAAGAACTGTAATCGGATTTGTGTTTCAAGTGTGAAGGATTAAAGGCGCTCAAATGCTCGCTCAGGCACTCACCCACACGATCAGTCATTTAATGGAAAATGAAGGGAAAAAAAAGAAAGGTACAGGCGAGGAAAATCCGCGTGAACCAATCCGTTACATCTGTCACACCTTCACCGCATCACACATGCTCATTCACCGGCCACTTTCGCTCTTTCTCTTTCTCGCTCTTTATTCCTTATCTGTTGAATGCATTTTGCTGATTATTATCAGTCCGCATATGCAAACAATGAGGTGAAATAGATTACACAAAGACTATTCTCAAACAATAGGGACTAGTTTGTCGTCGAAAACCTCCAACCACAATCACATATGGATTTAAAAAATTCAATATAAAATAATCTTAATTTATTATCTATCTATCTCGAATTAATTGTTGAAATTAAAATGTCAGATGATTTAATTCCTTGTGAGAAGAACTTCTTTGACTTTTTTGTCGATTTCTTTGCATTACGAGTCATCTAAACGAAAGATATCGTGCAGCGCTCTTTTTCGACTTGTGTTAGAACTGCAGGTCATAGGTTTTGTTCGGACCGGAAGTCTGGCTGTAGCCATCGCGTGACCCGTCCCTATAGAATCTCGAAACAGGTGCAATCACGTGTCGTTCTTGCGCAACAAACTCCAGTTCGCTGAAGGGAAGGAGGTCGCGATGTGTCCAAGGAAAAGCCTTTAGCGTGCGTGCTGACGTCGCGTATCTCAGAGCACTACGTCGTAGATTTGCTCCTGCACGAGTTAAATCCGTTCCGCTTCCGGTACCGCACGTCGCGCGAGATACCGTTGGATGTATCCATATCTCCCTTGTGTCTGCTCGTGTCGCGCGAAATCTACGCGCCACTTCTCCCCGTATGCACACAATTATCCTAATTGGTGCACAGGTCTCTTTTGTCCCGTTGCTTCATCGATCAAGGAGCTTAAGGTGTTTCCGGCTTAATTTCTACTTGTACTACGTGTACGATGTATTTACAAGAATAGCAGTATTTTTTGTTAATAATGTTAGCATGAAATATCATTTTCTTAATCATTAATGTGTATTAATCGCATTTCATATTTCGATAACTGATTAAATCGATATTTTTTTCTACCTAAAATATAAGAAATAAATAAAATGTATTTGTTAATTAAATTTTAAATTTTCGATAATGAATATTGCTTTGATTAAAATTCACAAAATAGAAATAGCTAAAACAAACAATAGGAGTATAGCAAATTCTTCAATTTAATCCACAATTTCTACATCGTAATATATTCATTCCTTTTCTACAATTTTAGTGAAATGAAACCTTTCTTAAAATCAGTGCGATTTTTAGCTTAGAAAGCTAAAGCTTTAGCTTTATTTACTGACACGTATCATTGAAGCTACATAAATATTTTAATTATTTAGAGTAATATGTCGATTTTTTTCGGTCGATGATTACGCATGGGATAATTATTCAGAAAGTAGTTCATCCATTCCTACACGTATACACTAAATCACGAGCAACACTGACAAGGCTGGCCCTGCCCATCAGTAAACGAAGGGTTAAGGGGGAACGGCGGATTGGTTGCAGTACTTGGTATCCGGTCGAAGCTGGGCGATAGTCGATAGGCAGCCGGCAGTAACGGTGCCAGGTGAACCCGCCTCGTCCGAGGCTCACATCGTGGCCACCCTGCCGTACGCACGTCACGCCTTCTTACCCTCAGCTCCCAATATCCCCAAATCTGCCACCGCCACTTGGGGCCACCTTAACAAAAACCTCATGTGGAAGGTAACTAATTCACCGCTAAATTCGCTCGCTGTGTTTCTCAATCTCGGGGGCGGCTCTATCGTAAGACGAACTTTGTGATCGTTTAAACTTTTATACATCTGTTACATCTTGGCAAAAGGTATAAAACACTTTTATTTAATGCTCAAAGATTAATAGATTATATTTGTATCATATTTAAATATTTTAAAATTTGTGTAATTTACTCAATTTAATATAAAATTGACTTTAATTGTTTTAAGTAGTAATCTTCTTGAATAATATATACAAAAGTAACAGCATCGCTCTACGGCGTTCCGAAATTGTAGCTTCATATATTTGTGAATATCTTATATATTATAGTCCGTTATTGTAAGGATTTCCTAAACCGCTGCTTTGACATTGATAATATTCTAAATAGATAATATTCTAAGTAAGTATGATCTTCACGTCAGCAAGCAATTTGCATTTATAAGACCTCCAATTATGGTCTTTGTATTTGCAAGGATCTTGCTTTTGTGAAAAGTACCCTAATCGAGTACATAATCCACGTGTTTACAAATACTTCGAAAACCGCTATTCTCGTATCTGCGAGTACGTAGTCTCTTGCGAGAATCGTGCTAATTATCGCTTTAATATTTCCGAAAATATTAAGATTTCAACGAAAATATTTGTTGTAAAAATCTTGCTTAAGTATAATACTTTTGCCAAAAGTTTCGCTAAAATTAGAGCCGTCTCCAGTTCACCGTATGTCTTTTGGTCTCTCTCTTTTATTTCTGCATGGTGTGCGGTATTACTTTTCACTCATGCACAGCATCTAGTCACCCTTACGCATCCTAGGAGTGAACCTGATCCGAATATTGAGCATGGCGATGCGGATACACTTTGTTGACGTGTAAAGATTATTTTTCATGTTTGCGACATAGCTTGTGCTACAACCTCCGTCTGCACTCTTCCCTCAATCTTTTTCTGTTAACACACCAATGAAAATGAAACAAAGGATAAAAGCAGATCCTTTGTCTAAATATGAGTTATTTGTCCTTTCATTTTTGAGTTACAGAGTGATGTTTGTTTCAATATCTAGATGTAGATTACATATGTCGAAAGAAGAATTACATTTGCTATCATGACCTATGTAAAAAAGATTTACTTTTTTCATTTATTTGTTAATATACGGAAATATAATGGAATGATATCACATAAATTATTGAAACATAAATCAATTCCTTTATCTATATAAAGAGAGACTTAATTAATGACATATATTTATTAAGATTTTTTTCATTCTCATATTCGAACTTTTTTTTTTAATGCAAGTATTGTATATGAGGGATTCTCAAAAAATAGGAATTATTTAATAGTGATTTTATTCACATATTTTTTCATTGAATTATGATATGTAATAGACTTAAAATATTTTATAGGATATGTTAGTTTTGTTATAAAAGCAACTAGACAAATGATAATATGATAATATTATGATAATGTTAAATAATACAATATGTAATCTTTATATATAAAAATATAGTAGCATAAAACATTTTTTACAGCTCTTAGTTTTCTCATACTTTTTGATAGAGGAAACCAGGAAATTGAGAATTTTCAAATTAAATGTGAATAATTGATCTAAACTGAATTAATATTTCATTTTAATATTAAAAAGCAAGTTGAATACCAAGAAAAATATTCATATTACACATTAAACGAACCTTAATAAAAATATAATTATCAACATTTGCCTATATAGATACAATTATAATCTTTTTCTGTGATGAAAATCGGATATATTTTAACGTATTTAAATATATTTAAAAAGTTGAGACACAGAAATTCTAATTTTTTGGGAATCGTCCATATCTCTTTTATACTTTTACTTTTAATGACGCTCGTTAAATTATCCTGATAGCAAAACTTTAGTGATTGATGAGCGTTGGCTAAAGTAAAAGTGCCCCTGTCCCTTTCTCTTTTTTTCTTATTCTAATGCGCGCGGGAACAAATGCGAATACACGGTTATGACATTTTATATCAGAACACAGTGCTCCATTTATCCTGTCATGAATTGTGTGTAGCTCATCTTGTGTGCCTTGGTTTACGTTGTGTATTATTTTTTTTGGCTACACAATGAAGAGAGGAGGATGATTAACCGTGAAATACGGTCCTCATATAACACGAGTGGAATTCTCTCGCTCGTCTTTCCTCTCATGCATGCGTGATTATCAATTGAGCCGCTTTATTTGAAAGCACGAGTTAAATACTATTAAGATAAATAGAATTAAAACGATGAAGAGATTAAATTATTGTATCTATCTTAACAAACACTTTTTGTGAGATTGGTATACATTAGATATAAATTTGAGATTGATATACAACTTAAATAATTTAAGTAAATCAAATGTGCGCTGTGTAGATAAAATATAATGAAAGTCAATTTGTGGCTTATTAAATGTAAATATTTGAAGATATTTTCAATATTTTTCATTAATCCATTGATCGAATAGTGAAATAAACGGCTCAGTTGTACAAAATATTCCCGTAAGTTTCTAAGTTTAACACCTTCGCGTTCGATAGTCCCATTTAAATGGTTCATGTTATTTATATAGTGATAAATTATATTATTGTATGTAATTATTTATATAATTTTCAAAGTTTTATTAATTTTCATTTTTTAATTTCCATATAATGATATCAGCATTCATAAAATTTATTGTTGGTTTATCTAAGATCTAAGACATAGTTCACGTTTCACATTCATTGTCAGATATGCATTGTTGTCATTCACGTAAATGTTACATATTTTTAAAATATAAAGATTATTTCGACGTATAGAATTTAATTAATAAAGATACGGAAATGTTAACGATAAACGTATTCTATCATCCTCGTTGTTTTATGCACAGATCTTTTATTCTAACGTCAAGTATTAACTCTTTCTCCACAGAACATTTCTTTTAAGTCTTACTCTCGTGATTCCGGACATGGCGGCTCCGAGCAGGAGGATTCCCCGCGGACGCACAACACCCTGACGCTCGGTCACTCTGGTAGGAGACGCGGACCGAATGATGCAAGCGATATGAACACCGGTACCAGGACGATCGGCGGTAGACGTGCCGCGATGCCATACAACCATACATATACTGAAATCGTAGACGGTCGAGGTAATGGCGGTATCGCCGGGCATCATCAATTGCATGGTCACCACGGCCAGCACGTTCATTTGCCGCGCGGCCTTGCCAACGAGGATGATCCAGTGTACGAGGAAATCGAGCGTGGTGGCGGCGGAGGTGGTGGCGGTGGCAACGGCAGCGGCAATGGTGGTATCAGCAGTGGAATTGGTGGTATCGTCGGCGCTGGCGAGATCCAGGTGTCGGATATGTCCGACGAAGACGGCCGTCGACCGAGCGACATGAGCAGGCAATCCTCCAGGAGCTACGGTGATCATCGGCCGCTGATCCCGTACTCGCCCGCCGCCGATCGCAACCTGGTGCACTATGGCCAGACGATGACGGAACGTGGCGGTAGTGCCGGTGGCGGTAATCTCACGCATTACGACTCGACGGAGTACGGGGTGGAACGAACCCTGAACGCCTGTTGGGAGAAACTGCGCCGGCAGCAGGCCAGGTACGAGCTCGGGGATCTGCCGCGATTGCCGGCGGCATACGGCATGCCGCCACAGCAGGACCACACGCGGACGGTGGCCGTGCTGGACGGGCACACCGTCGTCTGTCACTTACAGCCGCAGACGGACATGTACACGGGTCGCGGTATGCCGCCGCCGTCCTACAGCGAGTGTTAGGTTCCGACCTGGGCCGGGGAACCTCTCTCGTCCCCTCGCGAAGAAACGACGAATTCGTCTAGGAAATGGTGACGTCGACCAGCTTGTACGGCGTAAACCGTCTGGACGATTCGTCTCGTCCGGGACTACGTGGTGGTGATGGAGGTGACGGTGGTGATGGTATCGATGATTCGTTCCTGAAGAGAATAACCGAGGGGAACACGCGGGAGACGAACGTGCCGCTTTTTAGCTCAAGCGTAAGCGCGACGGTGTCTTGATGCAGTCTCGTCGCGTTTTAGCCATAATCGATGTATCGCGAGCGTTCTAGAGAACGCCGCTCTTGTCTCCGTTCAGGTGGAATTTTGATCAGACGTCTCCTCGCGAACGAACGGAGAGAGAGAAAGGATGGAAGTATGAGAGAGAATGAACGAATGCGAGATCGATGGGCGTCCAACTAAGACTGTCACGTCGTCCAATGGACGCCCCATTTCTCTTAAGATATACCGTGTATATGTGTGCGTGAGTGCGTACCACCGCGACGTGGACTCTGTATAACAATTGTAGCGGACCTCTCGTTTAGGCTAAGTCGACGACGATGACGTGCTCATCGTGGCCGGGCGTTTGGAATTGGCGAACCGAGTGCGCCAAGAAAGATCAGAACGTAACGGGTCTTGATGAAGACGGGAGTTTCTGCGAAGTCCGAAGCGATTGCGAGGAGATTGGCTTTTGAGATATATTCTGGATTTAAGTACGATGTTTTTGTAGATTTCATACGAGCGTAACGAACCAAAGTTTTATTGTTTTGATGTTAAAAAGCAGCTCGTGGAAATTTTTGCAAAATATCTGTCATATATTATTCGACACATCAATTTTTAACTTTTGTTTGGTGCAGATACTATAATTTACAAAAATAATAACTGCTATTTTCAATAGAAATACAAAAAAAAACTTTATTATTTAGAATTTAAAGTATTTGCAATATATATATATATATATAATATATATTCACAATTGCAATTTTTTATCAGATTAATCAATTCTTTCTATTTATTTTAATAATATCTACATTCGATTTTTAAATGGCCATAGTGCCATTACTTGTTTGCATGTTAAAATTTTGTTTTAAATAAGAGAAGGTTGTTTTTTTCTTTTTTTTTAATATACATGTACAGATATTCTTTTCTTAAAATGAAAAAAATAGAAATATTTATTTCCTAGGTATGCTAATTGTTGATTTCCAGTTTTCATAATTCGTATGTCAAAATACGTGACGTATGAAAAATATATGTTATGATTTTGTTAATCGAATTGGGAAGCATACGCGTTGCGCGTCGTTTCTGTAGGTATCATTTTCAACATACTTCGTATAGCAATAACATCCAACAACAGTGTTATCGAGATCGAATCGAATCCTATCCTCGTGCGCGGCGGACTTCGGGGGAGGAAATATTACGTGAGCATCGAGTGATACTCGGCACATCTGCGTCAACCCTTCCCAGACCCGTACCACCGCCACATGATTGTAAACGGGTCGGGGAGAGTTACGGGACACGACAAACCGCGTATCGTAAGCCGGTATTCAATGCGGTAAGTGGATTCATCGATGGCTCAGCCGTCACACGTTCGGCGATATTAGGTGTCGTGTTGATTGTAGCATTAAACACGGCTCACCGTGGTCGAGTGTAAACCACGTGTAAATCACAACATGACGTACGTATCGTTTACATCTAGTTACGGCGAGCTGCGTTTAATACGGTCGTTTAACGTCGTCTCTTGTACCGCCGTAGTGCGACGAACGAGTCGTCCGGCTGATTTCCCGTCGGCCACTTCCGAGTCAGCATACTGTTAAGTATTCGGCGGTGTAAAGCTTTTCAAGCATAGATAATCGGCGTGGGCCCTCAAATCTAGAGAAGCAGACGTTGTAACATAGATCTAGACATATCGCTGCCGGCCGAATCGTCAACGATGCGCTGGTATCGTCGACAAGCCGAGGGTCAACATGCCCGTATCTCGATCCTTACGCAGAATCGACGACGGCTCAATAAAGGAATCGATATCTTAATCTGAGGTGAGATTTCTCTGCGATGATGTATTAACTTCGCGTCATGTTAAAAGATGTGTTAAAAGTTGTTTTAGAATTTAAAGAATAAATGATAATTTCTTTTTTCTTTTTTTATAAACGAACATAATAATTTTTTATATTGTGACATAAAGTAATATATGATATATTGGAACATATAATCTCATCACATGTAATAGTCTGTTATTTCAGCGTCTCCTGATAAAGTCGCATTATGCAAAATTTATGAACAATATTTGAAAAACATTTAATAGTTTCAAACAAATAGAATCTGCTTCAGGTATATACCTAAGGTATATGCCTAAGGTATTTTAATTATTTTCAATATTTTTAACAGCAGTTTTTTCATTTTTTATAAAATATTAAAAAGAAAAATATCACAACAAATTATTATAAATTAATATTGCTTTTCATATTTATTATATATAAAGGAAGAGAATTATAGAGATATTTTAAATATATTGTAATATGTTGAAATATAATAAAATTATTTTGATAGTTCTTGATTTTTATAAATATTTTCATGCTTCCATATTGTTGATATGTTTATTGAATTTGATTTATGCGGTAATTTTTTGAAGTTTTCAAACTTTTAACTTTTAAGGAGATAAAAATGAATTGGTATTTCCACGTAAATAATTTATTAAAATTTAATAAATCATCAACTTATAACGTTCCTTTACTTGAGATAATAACAAAACTCTCTATCAGGAAATGTATAATTTTTTTATTATATACGAATATATATATATATATTTTAATTGGGATAAGACACCAGAATACATCTCAATTGATATGAATTGTCGCAACGAAAATGCCCATTAGGTATTTTTATTTTCAATTTATAATTCAATTTATAAGCAGCTACTTGTTTATATTCTTTCTGAAGCCGATTCTGCGCGAGGCTTTATTCTGACACGGTGCGTTCCTCGCACGAGCTTTCGCTGAGTTCGGTTTCGACGAGCAAATAACGAGCGTGTTCTCGGCGCTGATGGCCGGAAATTAGATTTCCTCCCGTGTGGGAAGAACAAAGGAGAAATCGAGGGGCAATGGCTAGAGCGCCTTTATCAATCGTATGTGGCAGCTCCTTGTCGCGCGCCGCTTTGGAACGTTGCGTTTTAGTCCCAGAATGTTATTTTTATAAATAAAAATGAATAAATAAATATATATATATATATGTATGTATATGTATGTATACACACACAGTAACGATATATTATATTATTGTGAAGGAAGAGAAAGCGTGAGAGAAATGCTAAGAAGGGCCCAGGAATCGTAAGTGGGCGGGTAAATATTAGTGATATACAAGCGGATTTCCCGAGCGACGTGGAAAAATGCGCGAAAAACACTTAGTCACTGTTTTTTACTATTTTTTAAAACAAAACCGTGTATGTGTACGTGAGAACGCGTGAGCTAAGCTAATCGTGTAACCAAGGGATCCCGCGCGCGCGCGCTATTTATTTTTATCATCCCCGAGTGTTTTATATCGCGAGCAGAAATTGTGTCGAGTGGGAGTTTTGTCCTTCTCCAACTATCCCTCGTCTTCAATGACGTAAACCACGAGGATCTTCGTCGGACAATGTTCGTGAAGAGACTATCGAAAGCGAGCTTCGATAGTCTTCTTAACGTGGTACATTGTGGATGAAATTACGTTGAGTGGACTATATATAATATACCTATAATAATTAAATATACTTACAAATACTTAAAATCACGATTTCCTTGTGCAAGAGAGAATGTTTATTTTTCTATAAATGTGAACATTTATTTTATTTTGTATTGATACAATTCGTTTCTAATATAAAAGAAAATTTTAAAAAAAAGTTTAGGATTTTCAATTCAGTTGGAATTTAATTTAGCAGAACCACTTTGATTTGCTTAATCCATATTGTAACAAAATAGTAATTTAATTAAGGGAGAAATTGCGAGTGTGATAAGTTCAACGTATCTTTGTCCGCTATGTCATGACTTCGTGGTTGCTTGATTTATTTCTCGCTCATGAGAAACACCATGTAGGAGAATTGTAACAGTGATAATCGCGTTAGGGGTACCAGCTATGTTAAGTGTGTAAATGTGTCCCGAGCAGTTGTACATAATTGCTCATTCTGGCGTTTTGAAGCATGTGTCCAGCAAAGATTTTTTCAAGTATCCAATACAAGAAATAGCATAGCCTTTACGAACGTTGTTTAAAAATCTATAAGATTCTAAGAGCTCTAAATTGGAACGACCAAATTATATATTACATTGCATCCCGAATTATTACATTGCTATCTGAAGTGACTTTATATTTACTTTTAATGAAATTTGCAGAAAAGTAGAATAATAAATTTAATTTCTGCAACCACAAATCATGCATTATAAAGATAAAATTTAAATGAATTTTTACAGATCAAACTAAATAAAAAGTGCGGAAATTATTATTTAAGGAAAACGTTTTAATATTGTTTATCAGTAATTTATCAAGATATCTAGAGATATAAAAATTAAAAAAAATTTTTATTTAGAAAATCCTTACGAAGAATATTTTAAAATGTATAAATATTATTATTCAATTGTGCTTTTATAAAAGAATTTTACGAGATTTCTTGTTTCAATCGGCAATCGTGTATCAGGATAGTCGCCTCTGAAAACGTTATGTAATTTAAAGTTTTTTAATATATATAATCAATATACATAAGGCTACTGTCAACTGTAATTTCTTTACCAACAAATTTGATTCAACGCCGCATTTCCTTTATCATTTATTAAACTGCAATTACGATTCAGTCGAGACTACGAGCTGCTTAGAATTTAAGTTTCACCATTGATTTACCCGAAAGAAATATATACATATAGCTTGTGTATAATTTTTTACAACCGGGAGAATTGTAAATCTCAGATACATAAAGTATAATTGCTAGACAATTGTTGAAAACATCCACATTCCATCCGTTTGACGTTCGTGCGAGCCTAGAAATA